GTGGATTATGTAACGCAATACCCAGAAGCAGTGCCGCTGCACAGGCGCTGTTGCAGATCATCTCCCGTGTTGGCATCCCGAAAGAGATATTGACTGACCAGGGCTCATCGTTCATGTCTCGCACCCTAAATGTCTACCACCCTCAGACTGAAGGAGTGGTGGAGCGGCTGAATAAGACTTTAAAGTCCATGACACGGAAGCTCATTCACGAGAATGAACATAATTGAGATCGCTGGTTAGACCCTCTGTTGTTTGCAGTGTGGGAGGTGCCCCAGGCTTCCACCAAGGGATTTTCAGGAAGCTGCAAGGGGTGCCCAACCTTATTAAAGAAAACTGGAGGAAGGTCTGAGTCCAATGAAAAATGAGATTCAGTACGTTCTGGATTTGTGAGCAAAACACACTTTTGGGAGGTTGTCATGGGAGAATTTGCGTGATGTTAACATCTGTACAACAGAGGGGCTAGAATCAGGCAATTTTAACAGGGAGATAAAGTGCTTGTATTGCTTCCCTTCTCCAGCTCAAAATTACTTGCCAAGTAGCAAGGGCCCTTGGTGGTCCCACGGCGAGTGGGGGACGTCGACTATGAAGTGATATGGTCGGACAATGGAGGGTCCATGCATATCACCTCAACCTCTTCAAAGCATGGAGAGAGACTGCAGCCGCTTCTCTGGTGAGCCTGGTGACAGAGACGAGCTGGGGCCAGAGGTACCAAATACCACAATTCCTGCCTCCCTCCATTGTGATAACCATGTCGCACAGACCTAGAGAGCGGATGTTGGCGGATTTTTGCAGATGTGTTCTCCCCCCCGCTCGGCCATATGAGTCTCATCGAGCACCACTTTCATACACAACCTGGCATGATGGCACGTTCACTGCCATACAGGCTACCTGAACATAAAAGTCAAATTGTTCAGAGGTATTTGGCTGAGATGCTGTGGATGGGAGTAATAGAAGAGTCAAACAGTGTGGTGTAGCCCTTTCGTTCTGGTCATGAAGAAGGATGGGTCTATCCCGTTCTGTGTGTGACTATTGCAAAGTGAGTGAGGTGTCACGCTTTGATGTTTACCCCATGCCCGTTTCAATGAGCTCCTGGTCTGGTTGGGCACGGCCCGCTTTTTCACAAAACTGGATTCAGCCAAGGGCTATTGGCAGATTCCCTTATCTGCAGAGTCCAAGGAAAAAACGGCCTTCTCCACTCCGCACGGTTTGTACCAGTTCGTCACCCTTCTGTTCGGCTTGTTCAGAGCCCAGGCCACCTTCCAGAGCCTCATGGACTGGGTGCTGTGGCTGCACGCTGTAATGCTGCCGCCTACTTGGATGATGTTATCATCCATAGTGACACCTAGTCGGAGCATGTGCAGCGGGTGGCTGCAGTCCTGGAGTCCCTGAGGCAGGTGGGGCTCATGGCCAACCCAAAGAAGTGTGCAGTTGGACGGAGGGAGGTACAGTATCTAGGATAGCACTTGGGGGCAGGAAGGTGTGTCCACAGATGGAAAAAAACAGCAGCAATTGCCAAGATCAAAAAGGAAGTGAGACAGTTCTTGGGGCTGACAGGGTACTACCACTGGTTCGTGCCTGGGTTTGCAGACCTGACCTTCCCCTTAATTGAGCTCACCCGAATGGGTGCTTCAGACCTGGTCCAGTGGACGGAGTCATGGCTGGTGGAGTTTGTGCAGGTAAAAAAGGCTCTCTGTGGGGAGCAGCTGCTCACAGTCCTGACTCCCCCCCTTTATCCTCCAGACTGACGCCTCGATGGTCAACTCTCTTTGTTATTACTAGGGATGGGTATCGTTTAGGTTTTATCCAATACTGGTGCCAAATCGGTACTTTTGAAACGGTGCCGGTGCTTAAACGGTGCTCAAACCGGTGCTTAAAGAATGGAGAACACAAAATTGGTCCAAAAACCTCTCATGTTCAGCTGGTTTTTGTAAAAAGATAACGGTGCCAAATCGGTACTTTTGAAACGGTGCCGGTGCTTAAACGGTGCTCAAACCGGTGCTTAAAGAATGGAGAACACAAAATTGGTCCAAAAACCTCTCATGTTCAGCTGTTTTTGTAAAAAGATAACAATGTTAGCCTTTTCTGCAGCTATGGGGCATATATGGTATCACTCTTGGCTGGAAGCAGTGCTTAAACAATGGAAAAACACAAACTTTGTCCAAAAACCTCTCATGTTTAACTGTTTTCCACTTTTTCTTTGGTCATTTTAGCCTTTTTGGCCAGGGTGAAGGGAGTATCTGCCATCAAACAAGAAGACAGCCGCATGTAGCTATGATGGTGTTTGCTAGTTCACCTTACATGCATTAATGTAATAACGTGGTTAGCCTACTCAACGTAAATTACACACGAACAACATTAAGCTACTCACGCAGAGAAGAACGGCTGCTGCTGCATCATCATCCTCATCATTTCTGCTACACTGGCAGGGCTAGGGGCCAGGACTCTCCTCTTCGGGTTTTTGGGGGATGTTGCTAACTCCGGGTCCGATAACAGGCACCACACCCGCAGTAGATGTGCTCGGTGTGAGGTCTCGCAGCAAGCTATCAAATACGGCGCATTTCTCGGCTTTTAAAAAAAACGCTATGCGTCGCCAGGTGTTTCATCGGATTCGAGGTGTTACCTCCTTTGACAGTATCACAGTATCAGCTTAAAGCACTTGTTGCTGCTGAGTTTGCATATTTTGCTGTGAAGTACAGCCAGACTTTTGACCGCTTCGTCTTGGGCATTTTTAATCTGTAGCTCTGCTCTAAAAGAACGTACGTACCTGGCCCCGCCTACTATCCTCGGAAACGTAAAATGATTGGCTAGAAGTGTATCACAGCTCAGGAAAAAAACACCGAAATAAAGCACCGAAATGTGCGCTGCTTTTCGGTCTGGTTACTACCGTTTATGTCAGAACCGGTGCCATCATGGCACCGGACACCGGTACCCATCCCTAGTTATTACCTGCTGGGGCGCTCATACACCCTCTGCTCAGACCACGCCCCGCTGCAATGGCTTCACCACATGAAAGATGCCAACGCCCGGATCACCTGGTGGTATCTGGTTTTACAGCCCTTTAAACTTCAACTTGTCCTACTTCCTGTCTCTGGACAAGAAATTTAGCTGGTTTAATTTATCTGTTTCATATATGCTGTTGAACTGTAGGTGACCTGTGTAAAGTGATGTGTTTCTGCCTTACAGAAGAGTAGTAGTAAAAATGGGGGAGGACCCCTTATAAGGAGGGTCAGTTTGTATCCTCACTACAACCCCACAATTGCCTCGTGCTGGCTGAATTCCTTCTTGCAAGAATAAAGCGCTGAAATGGAAACTGAGCAGTGTCTCTTTTATTTAATGCACTAAACTTCCATAAGACTCCTTTTTGATTAGTACACATAATTTATAAACATTTATGGTTTGAGTTGTTTTGGATGTGTCAATTGAATGGGTTGCTACTAAATCTGGTGGGAATTTCATGTCAATAGCACCTTTATATTCAATGCTTATTTCACGCGCTGTATTATAATGTCTCAGTTAAAGCCAAGGACCTCAGCAGGCTCCACTGAACTTGACTTAAACCAGTGTTGGTTGGTCTGACTAATACGCAGGTAAATGTTTGATCCATATTTTTATCTTCTGTTTTTATTAACTGCATTTTGTCCTTGTTAAGTTAAAGCTGAAATAAAAATGTTCAGCTCTTTCTGTTAAAATTCAAGCTTTAAGTAATACGCTTTTGTCTTCTACTGTTTTGTTAATATGGAAGTGCTGGACCGGGCCACACTGACTCAGTCCAGCCTCAGTTACTACACGATACTACGGAGACTCCTGGTACTGGTGCTCCTCTGAAAATGGCTTTTTCTTGTACTCACACACATATTCAAGGTGAACATACTCACAGTTGATTTAAGTAAGTATGATTAACCTATTTTAGAACTGAAGAGTCAGTTGTTAGACTCTGTTTGCTGAACCTGCTTTCTAGAATCAGACTCAAACACAGGCAACAAAAACAAAAACTAACAGATCACTAACAGGAAGAGGAAAAAAGGACGATAAAGTGAAGAGAAATCTAAAATGAGACAACAGAAAATTAGCCTTAAAAATAAAACAAGAAGTAAACAGAAGATAATTAGCATCAAGACAAAAAGAGACAAGGAAAAACTAAATTAAGGCATTAAGGCAAAGACAGCAAAAATATTTAAATATAAGAAAAAACATAGAAAAAATATAAAAAGTATTAAAATCATACCAGGACTTAAAGTTCAACATTATCTCACTGTCTAAAAATAATCACTAGGATAAAAAAGAAATAAGAGCTACAGCTTATTATTATCAGAGAAATAAAAGCAGGAATCCAAAATTCAACTTACAAAGCAAATCCTTGGGACCTTGATAGAGCCAATAATTTCACGATTAATGATAATGCAACAACATCTTGCTATCATGTGAAAAACTCAATTCCTCAATCTATAAGTGACTGAGAGCAACTGAAATGAACCTTTCTCTGGTGTTTTGCAACATTTTTTTAACATCTCATTTCAGTGATATTAGGATGATTACAGTAATTCAAGGCATAGGGTCACAGCAGCCAAAAGTTGGTTGAGAGAAGAGAAAGTGAGTGTGACGACGTTTTTTTATCTAACAGTTTGAGGGTTTTTTTTAAACTGTTTTTTGTTGTTTTCTGTGTTGTTTGCAGAGATTGTCGTGGCCAACCTGGCATTACTGTAATGACTGTAATGATATCACTGAAAAAGCACAGAGTTGAAGAAACCATTGAATTTTTTTGATTATGCCAGTGGTTCAAGAGTTTTGGTAGTTTGATGTAAAAGTTTGACCTAAAACTGATGATTATTTTAATGTGAGTGCAAACCAGTGTGAAAGAATAACAACCCAAAAATTCATTTTCAGATTATCCCATTACAAATCAACTCAAACATCATTTGCATCAATTTTCAATATGAGACAGCTAAGATGTATTTTGAATGTTGGTTATTATGAACAGACAGAATGTCCAGTGAACTTACAGGAAGTCCAAGATGGCCTCTGTCTCCCTTGTCGCCTTTCTGACCCGTCGCTCCCTTTTCTCCTCGGATTCCAATTCCTGGCTCTCCCTGAGTTAAAAGGTAAGAAATACAATACAATCCTTACACTTTCCTACATAAAATCAATGATATGATATGATATTGACAACATATAACTAGAGGCAAATTTAATAACCGTAGAAAGTGGGTAATATCATAGTTTGTTCTCACCTTAGGCCCCGATGGTCCTTGTGGTCCCTAGAGGAACAAAACAGTGGAATTTATTTCAATTCACTTTTATTTATATACTGCCACTCACAACAACAGTCATACTAAAGTGCTTCATATTGAAAGGTAATGACCCTCCAATAAAACAGAGAGAACAATCAAACGACCCCAATGGCGACAGTAGGAAGGAAAAGCTCCCTTTAAGCTTTAAAATAAGTAATGATTAAATTCAGAGTTATGTATAAAGACATGGTGAGTGAAGAAGAAACACCAAGTGCATCATGGGAAGTCCTCAGCAGCATAGACCTATCCAGAGTTTTCAGTCACATGACTGACTCACTACCCTGGCATGCAAAATATGGTCAGAAGTGGACAGTAGGTGGTGCTGTAGGAAAAGTATTTTTCTTGCCTATATCAAGCAACTACTCGAAAAACAAACATATGAAGAGAAACAATGAATTTTAGGGACTTTTGATCCATATTTTGCTCTGGCAGCTTTATGTAAATACCTAAAATACCTAAAAGTGCCAATGTCTCTCCCAGAGCTCCAGTTCAGTGACATCTATGTGCATCTTGTAGAACAGGGGTCGGCAACTTTTCTGATGATGAGAGCCTCTAAAATTCCCTCAGAGGTCAGTGTGCCATATGACTGCATTAGCAATGAATTTAATAACGCTCTATATGAACAGTTACTCACTATATAGATCAACTTTACAGAATTATATTTGTTCGCAGATGTTGGCAGCTATTAGTGAATAGTTATCAGCTATTTAGAAACAAAAAAAAGACTTTTTATCCATAACAGCAAATGAACTGTACAACAGAAAATACAAATGCTATTTATGGTCTCCTCACAACAATGATAAGAAAAATAAACTGGGCCAATATGGCATGTTTGTTAATACAGAGACACACATGTTAATGTGATCTCTGGTCTCCCACTCAGAGACACAGGTCTCCGAGTGTCCAGCATTCAGAGGCTACCTGAGGACTCATGTGAGAGAAAATCTGCTCACACAGACATGTAGAGCCAAACACTGTCAATAAGGCCTCTGCAATGTTCTGAAGACAGTTAAACTTGTCAGGTAGTGACGTCCAGCAGGTGAACATGCAGCTCCATGAACACGCACAGCTGTGGATTCCAGCTGCGTTCATAATTCTGCAAACTTCTGCAAACTGACCCCACAGTGTCGAGCTTTTCAGTTCAATCAGCTGCATTTCGATGTCGCATTAACTGGCATTAAATCAGCCAGTTAATGCAAGATAAACCCAGCTGCTCTTTAAAGCTTTCTGGTTTGATCAGTCTCGAGTCTTCGGATGTATCCGTGTATTTCCGTGGTGCTGATGCTGCGCTGAGCGGACAGCTGCTGAAGCATTTGAAGTGTCAGAATGTGGAAATTTAAACATCGCTTGAAAAAACTGCCAGCTAACAACGTCCCTCTCACCGGTAGTTATTAGCCAATTACAAGTTGAATCTGGTAGTTGGGGTTGTTAGCTAAGATACCGTACATTAAGAAGCGACACAACTAATGTGTGTATTGCAAGCTAATTTGCGATGTGCACCGCTGGCCGGCCATTTATTTTTTAATGCACCTCTCAGATTAATTCACTGCGTGTCGTGCAGGGCTGGACTGGGACAAAAAATCGCATTTTGACTAGAGACCGGCCCCCCAGGATAAAACCATAAAGTCCTTTGAATGAAAACAAACGCTGTTGTGACAGTGATGTACAGTCTTGTTGGTATATGTATGATTTCTATACATTTTACATCAGATAAAAACTTTGGTTGTAAGATTCAGATAATTATTTATTAAAAGCTAGATATTTTAAATGAGAATAAGAAAGAAAAGTATTTCTTTGTGCCCCCCTTCCCTGTTAATGCCCTACCTGCCCCCTGGCAAAACTTTGCTAGACCCGCCCCTGCACAGTTACCAGCTGTCAGCTACTTAGAAAAGGATCCTGGTGTTATTTGTCTCTCAGAAACAGTTCATAACTTCAACTCATTCATGTCACCTAAAAGGTAAACCTGTTTCTCCATCACCTGTTCAGCTCTGATGATTCAGTAAGGACATCTCCTGGTTTCATCTTCATGTTTCCCTCTCACCACATATCCAAACCGACATCATGACCAGCAGCTTTACAGCTGTGGCTCCAGCAAACATCAGCTGATACTAGAAATTAATATTAAATAAATTCTAACAACAGCTGATCAAGCTTAAACGTGCTGCTGTTGTTTAGCGCGACATCCGCTGGTTTCCTCTTTCTGGCGCAAAGTGGGCGATAAACAAACAAGAGAGAAAAGCCGATCAGCTGATCATTGATCAGTTTCATGATTGAAGTAGCAACAGGAGAGAGAGGGGAGAGAATGAGAGGAGAAGAGGCAGCTGTAGCGTAAAGATGCAGAATAACTCCAGCGTTGTGTCTTTTTCCATTCTAGCTGAAGTACAAACTGTGTTCCTTTTCAGCTCAATACGAAACGCGTAATATTTTCTCTGAATGCGGGACGATTCCGTTTTTCACAGGTCAGTTGGAAACTCTACTAACTAACCTTACAAAATAAGTTCACTCTCACGTAACATCATAGCACCCATCCAGCTGTATAGAAACTCCTCATGCTAGCTAGTACGCAGTACGAGTTATTGTAACTGACGGTAAAAAGTCAGCATCAACGAAAATAAACTCCACCTAAACTTGGTTTATATCTGACCCAGATAGACTGCAGGTCATAACTTCTTACCTGAAGTTCAGTTCACCTGACACTCGGACCGGCGGCCCCTCGGGTCTCTCCTCCTCCTGCCTCCCCTTTCCTCATCCACCTGCTGGCCTCTGTGGAAGCTCCGCCATAGCCACCACCAAACAACTGAGTTATTTTTACACATCAACCAGCATCTGGCCAATCCACCACCTTTCATTGTTTATGCCGTTACAAAAAAAAGAAAAAGACATCGGCCCATAAAAACGAAAAATCACCATTGACCCACCAAGCAAATGTCTGGTATGCCCGATGGCCGGTCCAGCTATGGTCGTGCCATCAGTTAATCCTTCGCATGCCAGATGTGGCACGCGTGCCCAGGGTTGCCGACCCCTGTTGTAGAAAATCACTGACCTTACGCTGATGCCAGGATGCAACCTTTCAAACTATGGACTTCTACGTCTATTTTCAATTTGGATGGGTATTGCTATGTGGAAGCCAGAGATGGGCAGTGTTACTGCCTTGTTAAGGGATTACTTTTTTGGAGAAGTAATCAGTAATTAGTAACTAATTACTTTTTTCAAGTAACTTGACCAACACTGGTGGAAGCTGAAGAACAAGAAAGTGTTCATCATTAAAGCAAAGGTAAGTGTCGCATAGCTATCTTAAATAAACTACCACACCTAAATCTTATGCTTGGTTGACTTGGGCTTTCACTGTGTATGACTAGAAAGGTTCCAGTAGTACTAATTTGTTACATTAACGTCATGTCAAAACAGTAAAGTTGAAAGAGTGTTTTTCCAGCGTCAGGTTAACCATTCCTGGAGTTTAAATTAGCCACCTCTGAGAGCCTGGATTGTTGTGAAGATTAGTGCGATTTGGCCTGTAAGGCAGGTAAAGAGATGTGTCCTCACATGTTTGTGCTATACTCAACGCCCTTCTGGCAGCTGTAAATAAATGCTGATTAGTGCATCCCATAGCACAGGAACTATCTGCCGTTTTGGCCTTCAAGCCACACGTTGAACTTGATGTTTAAAGGGAGTCATGCTAATTTCACATGTAGCATCCACGTACAGCTTGTTACAAGCAGGTGTGGGGCCTGACTGACCACAGGGCAACATAAACGTAAGACCATGTACACATGGCCCAGCTTCCTGTCCTCCCTGCTAGGACACTTAACATGTTGGTGGAATTTGGGGAGTTTAGATTTCAAACCACAGGGCACTGTTTGAGGCCCTGCAGTAATGCTCCAGTCTGTGGCTCCAACTTCGTCCCAAACTTTACACCAATCATCAATATTAAGCAGGTGGTTTTGATGGTATTGCTTGTTTATGTATTTGACCATATTAGAAGGCTCATTAGATCATACTGAGGTTGTAGAGGAAGTTTGCTACTCAATCCCCGGCCCTTTGAGTCATCTTTCACAGTATTCTTGGGTAAAATACTGAACCCCAATTTGTCCACAGTGTATCCATGTGAATGTGCATGTAAATGCTAAATAAATTGCTTAGACATAGATAAGCACTGTGTGAATGTGTGTGTGATTGGGTGAACGAAAAACATGCTTTTAGTGCTCAAACTGGGTATAAAGACAACAAGGACAGGAGGTAAGCATCCTATTTATCATTTAAAAACATGGTTAGTGTGTCACATGAAACACCTTTACAGTTATGCATTGCTTTTGTTTTTAAAGATAAGAGTTACGCGGCATATCTGACTTACTGCTGGGCCAGCTGGTCCTGGGGGTCCTGGAGGACCATAGATCTAAAGGCAGGGTATACACAGTTTTAAAAGTAGTGCTTATAAGGCACTGACAAGCAGAAAATTATAAAACTCAGTTTATAAATAATCCTTACCGATTCTAACCTTCCTCCATCTCCAGGTTCACCTTTTGGACCCTGTAACATTATGTGGGAAAGACACAGGGACAAAGGGTTCGTGATATATTTCCATATTTTACAAAACTACTGCAGGACATCTGTGATTTCATACTACACTTGTGCGATTTGATACAGCACTTGGAGCACAGCATTTCACTACCTCACAGCCATCTAACCAGCCATCTCTTGCAGCTTGAGAGGCAACACTGCATAGCATCGTACACAGGAACCATTTGTTGGAGGAACATTTCAGTGTACTATAAGGTCACATAGTTATGCTTGGGGCCTGGTGCCTACTTTGTTTTACATTTTGTATGTCTTACTGTCAGACATCTGTTGCATAACCCGAGTCTTATACAGCAAATCTCACCCAAGTAGTGAACATCTACAAGGTTTCTAAGCATATTAAATTCATAAATATATAATGCACCTAATTACTGCTGCAACAATTCATCGGCATAATCATAATGTCGTCGACTATATAAATTTGTTGATGCACAATTTTATCATTGACAGGTCATATACTAACATCACGTAAATGTGTTTTTGTGACTGCAATAAGCTTCAGGAAGCGATGGGGGCAGTATCGCCTCTATCGTCTGCCAAGACTTCACTCAATACTAACAAAGAAGAACATGTTGTGAACGCAAAAATGAGGATGGAAGAAAAGGGAAACTGAGATTTTAAAATACGCAACAGCATTTCACAGAAAACTGCACAGAAGTGCATTCGGGGTGGGCGAGGTTGAGATGGTTTGCTAAAGGTGGGCTGATCAATCCAAATATTTGTTCTGATATCAGATTGATTCTAACACTATAGGATAGAGACATTATTTCTATCCTCCAAGTTCAGTAAATAGTTTTTAATAAATAAATATTTTTTGAAAGATCTACTTCAAACCTGCACAAATATTAAAAATATGTCCCAGCATTGACAGATTCCAAACAATCTGTATTTTTCCCCCAATAAATTTGTTAGAAGAAATTTTAAAATAAGATGTCCTGATCCACCAAATATAGCAAATGCACCAGTTAATTTCTTGCACAGAACTCCAACTTACAGTCTTTGACACTCTCGGGGTCTCTTCCAAGTCTTTAATTAGATAAGAGTGTAGCGAGAAAGACCAAGATGTACCCTCTGGATGACAACAATGTGGAACAGTGATAATGTGGAACTTCACAGACAGTTGTGTGGTTAACGTAGTCACTTACAGGTGATCCAGATGGACCCATGTCACCCTTGGTGCCTTTGGGTCCTGGAAAGCCCATGACACCTCCCTCTCCTCTGGGACCTTCAGGACCTGCCGGGCCCAGGAGACCAGGTTCTCCAGGCTTCCCTCGAGGTCCCTGAAAATAGAGGATCATAAGTTGCTCCACTTTATTAAATGTAAACAACAGAAATCTGCATGAATTAAATGTGTTTTATATCAAATCAGTGATGGTTAAGTGTAATTATCACCCACACTCTTGGATTTTAGGAACCTCATAAAATCAGACCTGAGTAATAACATGGAGATAACATAATATTACCTTCTCTCCATCCAGTCCTGGTGGACCTGGTAGACCAACTTCACCCTAAGGACAAACCAAGGTCGCATAACCAACTAGGCAAACCAGACAATTGTCTTCGTTTACAATAACTGCACATCCACACCAATGTCATTATGACTGAAAAAGAAACCTATTTTAACACAGCCTGTTTGTTTGTTTTAATGCAGACTCTTGCAGCTCTATCTGCAAATCAACATTTTTAAGCAATACCAGACTAGACATTCATGCTATTATGTAAAATGTCGCATTGGGTTGGCTGCAGGTAGAGCAGGTCATCTGCTGATTGGAAGTTTGGTGGTTCATTTCCAGTCTGCATGTCAAATATCCTTGGGCAGGATACTAACCTCAACTGGAGTATGAATGTGTGCGAATGTTAGCAGTTATGTAGAAACAGAATAGGAAAAAACTGCTTGTATGAGTGGGTGAATGAGGCATTGTCAGTGCTCAGGTAGAATAGGGAAGGGCTATATAAGAAGGAGTCCATTTACATGTCACATGTCCTAATAACAATAGTCTAATCTGGAGGAGATGAAGGCATGAACAAACATCTCCAATTCACCTCTAGAGACAAAAGTCCTGAGTTTAGTGATATTTCTTATGTGAAGAAAGAAACAACGGCTCGCAGACTTGATTTGGGCATCAAAAGTCAAAGATGAACCCAAGTGTCCGAGCAGCAGCTTTTACAGTGGATGAGAAAGACACCAAACGTTGTCTGATTTGGGCCTTAATGCTCTGTTGTCTGTATTAAGCTGCAGAAAATTGTTTGCCAATTGTGTTAAGACGGTCCAATTTATCCAATTCTTGGAAAAATGTTAAAAAGTTGTTACAATCCTTATCTGAAAAGACTGGAGACAAACAATGCTATTCTGTGTATCAAAGAAAACCTTAGGATCTCTTTTTCCTACTCTCACATTTTTTATCATTTTATTTTTTATTAAAAGGAATTTTTTCCTTTTAATAACCCTTATGTGCCTCAAGTTTTCTGGCTTTCCACAGCTGCTCAGCTCTACAGCAACGTCACCTAAAACTGCGGATAGATTCAGTGATCCGAGGAGGAGATTTGAGAGATGCCACTTTGGCCGGTACAATCTGAAATGAAGGAAGCTGCACCCAGTTTTATACCATCAGTCTCAGCCAGATTATTAGTAAACAATTCTACAGATTCTTCCACCACAGACTCAGTAATAAGTTGTGAGTGCTATGCATGAACAGAGGGCAGAGTGTCAAGGCTAGAAGATAGATCAAATAAAAGACATTTATGGTCACTAATAAAAATGTCTTGCAACATTCTCACACAGTAACACAATAATGTAGCACATTAATAAATTGTCATTGCCAATGTCAAATTTACTACACAAGATTTTTAGTTATCCACCTGATGGACAAGCAGAGAAAAATAATTTATCACCAAACCCCAGCCTGTGTAGACCACAGAACAAAAAACTGAAACCATAGGGGAGTGTAAAATATGCACATTACCATATATTCATTGTGAATGATGACAAAAGTATGCATGTTTAGTTATACAGTGTGCAAGCATCATCTGGCATTGTGTTATTCTAAAATACTCTCCTACCTTGGCTCCAGGGATTCCAGGTGTCCCTGGAGGTCCAGGTAATCCAGGAGGGCCCTATAAGGATGAGAGATTCAGTCATGAGATATGTTTGCATTTTGTGCAATACAATCTAGAAAATACTCACCATCAGGGGGATGTTGCGGATATCCTGTGAAGAAATATTAAATGTTACTAATGCTTTATTTAATGTGTTACTTTCTTTGTAGATGAGAAAGTGAAACTCATATGAAGCGACATACATTTTCATACTGGATTTCAGCCCTTCCTGGCTCCCCAGTCGGGCCTGGCAGACCCTAGAAGGTGCAGATGTGCCATTTGTCAACTCAGTGGACACATGTTAATAAAAACTTTTATTTCATCCAGAACTTACCCTTGGGCCAGCTGGGCCTTGAAGACCTGCTTCCCCCTATTAGTTGATGTAAGACATAAGACTTTGGTTAGGCATAAATATGCTATAGGATTCATATTTTTCTGAATAAAGGCCCTTTCAAAATTAATTTCTAGTGTTCTTATCCTACTTTTTCTCCCTGGGAGCCTTTGTCACCCTATAATAAAAATATTCTAATATTATGCAGTAACTTCACAGAGTTAGAGTTACTTAAGCATTTTTTAAGTAATAATTGCATTGCTGTTTCATGGCATTGTATTTCACTCACTCTGGGTCCTCTTAGTCCCGGCAGTCCTGGTGAACCAGGCTCTCCTTTAATTCCCGGGGCTCCAGTGTTCAGCTCTCCTTTCTCTCCCTGTCATACATATAGAAAAGGTCTTAACCAATGGCATACACTGTTATCTCCAATTTTATCTCCATGAAAATCAAGAATAATCAGTCCACTGAAGAATACTGTCAGCAGTTCCAGAGAAAATAAATACATAGTAAGCTGGTAAGTGGCCCTGGGGGACATTGTTGTCTAACCGTTCTGTCCGTGGCTTCTAACAGTTAAACATTTACTGTTTCATGAATTGAACAAATAGTGGCAATATGAAAGTTGATAGAAATGATTGGTAGAATTAGCCAGTTTCATGAAAACAATCATTAAGACTACACATTCTGTCAAAGAGGGAGCAAAATCCAGCAGCACAGAAAGACAGCCATCTTGGAACGGATATATTCACTGACACACTGAAATGGGTGAGTTACGAACAAGCTATGATGACAGAAAGATGACAAAACCACCATAAATAAACAAAACCACTATGAACCACAAAGAGTGAAAAAAACAATAGTGGCCGCCTCGTGGTAGATTCTAGGTGATGTTCAGAAAAGGTGTCACAGGGATTCAAACTCATCTGAGAGTTTTAGTGGATGCACCTACGGTTTGAATGTAAAAATCCTACGCTGCCTAGTTCTCGAGTTATCATGTTAACAAAACTTTCAGAAAGTGTCTGAGTGTTCATCACGACATATCCTTGGTAATGAGGATGAGACATGACAAGGGCGCACCCCAGGGGCCAGAAGGAGGTAGAGAAAGACGTAGGAGACCTGGGCCATCTACAGCTCCCCAAAGTACTCAAGACCCAAGGCCACATATCTATAAGAACTGTTTGCACCCCAGAAGAAGAATGAAGGCCCCCAACTGAGCCCTCACAGCCAAAAGACAAGAGCCCCAGAGAATCAGAAGCAAGGGGCAGCCCAACCTGCCAGAGGCTGACCATGTCAGCGTGACCCGAGATTGGCCAAAGTGCCCAAGAACCCCCTCCCCTCCCCATGACAAAGAGGCCCAAGTCACCTTGGACCACAACCCCCAAGGAAGCAGGCTGATAACCACGGTCAGCTTTTTACCCAGCAGGGTCGGCCTGATGAAAATTGATGAAAATGTAAAAAAAAAAAACATGAAAATGTAGATAAGGTTGATCAGCTCCACAACTCTGAGTGGGGCTGGTAAGTGAAGTGAAGGGGGTTCAGATGTGGTCTGACCAGAGGATGGAACTGATCGAGGTTGTCTTCCAGGGTCTTAGCTAGGTGCAAAGAAGCATCGTTTTCCAGCCACAATCACATATCACCCAGTTGAATCAGCCTTTACATTATAAACCGTAAATTGTTTACTGTTGCTAATCATGATCGCTGCCCCTCTTGATCTTGAGTCAAAGTTGGACTGAAACACTTCAGCTGTGCAGATATGAGTCTTCTGCAGAAAATGCAATGCCTGTGTTTAGCTGTTTTAAAGATCTAATAACTTTTTAAAATCTCATTGACTAATTGCTGCTGTAATGGAGGTTGTGCTCTCCGAGTGCTTCTTGTTCTTACAGTGATATGACATGGACCTTCAGCACCTCCAGACTGGTCAAAAAAGCCCAGCAAAGATCGCTCTGCCTGAGAAGGTACAGTGAGCAGAGTTCCTCTAGAAATGGCTGCTGGACTTTTACAGGACAACCTGGGATGTGGTGGTTCAAAACACAAGAGTTCACTTGAGATGATCCCAAAGTGTCCCATTAGTAAACTCAAAGGTTTGTCCAATGTTCACAAAGTTAGCATTTTAACACTTCTTTTTACTGTGACCTACAGTGTGTGTAGTATGTGCACTGACAAAGTTTCCATTACAAAAACAAATTACACATACAGATACCTTTAAGACCTATCGGCAACTCTTACACTGAAGAGACCGTAATCAGCCAGTGATGACACTGCAGTATTGCTTTCATTGTGTTTGTGTTGCAGCCCAGTGTCCTGACAGTCAAGAAGCACAAGGAGACACACCTACTGCCAGAGTTTCCATAACCGCTTACAAATTCCATGTATGCACCAACGAGTGACAGTATCTGCTTCAACACCTATTCAATGTGTCACAGAGACACAGAAACAAGAAAAACGCCACTGAAAAGTTTCATCTGAAAGATATTCTAACAGCATATGTGCATCTCCAAAAGTTGATTCTGTTCATCTGGACGTAGCGTTTTGTGGGAGAAACGTTTTTGTCATCATCCAGGTGACTTCTTCAGTCTCAGCTGACTGCAGGTTTCCACCAATCTTATAAACAGGACATGAACGTATATGTGCAGTCACCATGTCACACTGAATACCTCGTATTCTAGCAACTTTTAAATGTCTTTTCAATTAGATTTGCACAGTTTACTTTACTATTGTTCTAGCCACCTCTAGTCCGTTTCTATCCTTTGCAAGTCCTTCCTGCTGCGAATCATGAGCAGATGAACCGTCAACAATGTGTAAAGTTCAACTAAGCAAGTAAAATGTCTTCATAAAGTCAGACATTGGATTGGATAACAGAATGACTTGTGTGAAATAATGTCTATCTCGCTCCTGCTTATTCTTATCTTATTCTTCATCATTTCCTCCGGCTATTTAATTGTTCCTCCTCATTTGCAGTGAAGGAAATGTGGGCACACACTTCTCCTGGTCATGAAATCCAGTATCTTACTGCTATTGTATTTAAAAAATGGGAGCAGAACAGACAATTTTAATAAGAGCTGCTTTCAGAAACACCACCTATGTTAGTATTTTGCAACAATGACGGATGGAGGTGTTGGATGTGTCTGTTCCCTGTGTGTCATTAGACCTGAGCTTCCTGCTGGGAGTTTCAGGAGTTTTCTCTGAGATTATAGGACCAATTTCCCCTAAGTTCATAGATTATTCTTCCTTGTGCAACTATTTCTGGGCACTGAAGGTTCAGCCTGTGAAATCACTTTCTCTTTATTAAAGAGTAAAAGCCTTCACAGATTGCTGCTCCCTGTGGATACAAAATGCTATACAAGTTTAACCTTCCTCCTGCCACCATCTGTCTGAGGCCCCTAATGGAGAAAACATACCCTGCCATCCTAATGTGGCCAGTACAGAGATGTACTGTGAGCCCAGGTCTGCTGGGACTGCTGCAGTGCTGACAGAGGAAGCAGAGTCTACCATGTAGAAAAACAAGACAATAAATGTCTTCATATTTAATTATTCTGTGGTAAAGCCTCTAAAACATGACAAGCATCTAAGACATAAGTGCATCCAGGTAAGTTCCAGTTTCCTGTGTTCAGAGACAGACAGCAGAAGGATTTGAAGCCTGTTTCTACTGATGCATACATTTAAAGCATGTTCCTATCACCCACACTCCAGCAGCGACATCTGCCATCTTGGCATGAATAAATAATCCTTAAAATGCCACACACACAAGCTCCCTGCTTGGCTTTTATTTTTCATTCTCTCTCCTCTCTCTGGGAACGCCCTCACTCTTTCACCTCCCCACACAGTGCATGGAAACATTAGCTCAAGCAAGCAGACAGTCCACTTCATCCAAGGGGAAACAGACCACAGGGAGACGGGGAGCTGACAGAAGTAGAGCTACAGCCTCCTCTTGTAAGCTGCTTAAACTATGGAACTGAATTAAATCCTCTCGTGGAATTAAGGCCAGAAACTATGACGAGAAGTCTGCTCTTCAGCTTTGAACTCAGCTTTACTTTACTAAAGTGAGTAGTTCAGAAAGGTGCCTTATTTTACTTCCTCTTACCTTATTTCCTTGGTCTCCCCCAACTCCCTGTGAAGCAGATAACAATGCTGTAAATTTAACAATAATTATAGTTTCCACTAGATGGCGCACACGATATTTTGTAGTCCTTTCAGTGAGTAATGTTTCATGTCAGTGAGCTGATGGGCTCATGGCAGAAAACAGATAAGATGGAACATTTACAATAATCTGCACAGAAGGAGAGCAGCAGCTTATTTTCACAAGTGCCAACGTTTGAGCTCTTGGGCAAAATCACATCTTATAGATTTATACTGTGAATTCGTTGCTATAACTGTTCATATCCAGATGGCAGAGACATTAAAATCTACAACTGTTTATTCGATTATACAGTTTGGACAAAGACACAAACTAATAATAATATTGTCTTTGTTGTTTTTTGTATGTCCTGTCCGCATTAGAGCAATCAGAATCATTGTGTGAAGGACAAGGACAGTCTGAAGGATTTATTTTCCCATGTACCAGTACAGCTTTACTGGTCCACTTGATTGACATATTTTATTGGACCTTTATTATTATTATCATTAATATTTATTTATTTTTTTCATTTTGAGTTATTACACTGAGAACGGACAGGACCGGAGGACAGGAAAGAGAAAGAAAGAGAAAATGGGAAGAGAGTTAACAGAAGGAAAGAGAGAGAGAAAAGACTAGCAAGGAAAACCACAGCATCCGCAACCGTAAATAATAAACAGTATAAATAAATAAATAGTAATATTGTCACCAGCAAGCTACTGTATCCTGCAAACTGTCCTCAAACCTTAGAGGATGATCTTAAAAGCTTAGAGTGTGTTGGAGAGTTTCTCCTGATGCTTTGGGTCAAACATAAAGCAGAAGGTAAATACCTTTGGGCCTGCTGGGCCAACATCACCTCGATCCCCCTGTGGAGACAAACAGACACACATACAAACACCAAAATAATAACACTAATAAACACTGAAAGCACAGTAACAGCCAACAGATGATCAAAGTGGTGTCTCGAAACCTATTAAAACTGAGCCCTATTTCTTTATTTCCCTTTTAAAGTAAAAATATAGGAGTTCATTATGAACATAAAAATAAATAAAATACTAAAATAAAAATAAATAAAATACTACTTCCTTAATCTTTCTGCTTTGATCGTACGCAGGCATTCAAAGCTACGCGATACATACGTCCATCATTAGTAAATAAGTGGTCATTTCTTTCCGTTCATAAGGAAAAATGTGTTTACTGGAATATGCATTTCACAGCAGCATAGTTGAAATAATACTTTTTAAATGTAAAACACAGAAGGGAGCTCACCTTTTGTCCTGGCACACCTGGCTCACCCTGAAGACATAAAACAATAAGTGTATATCTATAAAGCATCTATACATTCAGCTTTGATTTACCGCAGTAAGCATTTCACATCTCTGCGTCACATCTGAGCTCACAGTTCACATTCCTGCTTTCAAACAATCCATAACAATTAATGCATCACGTGGAGCATTTGCATCAGGCACACTGAAAACTTTCTGACTCGGTGTCATGTGGCCTATTTGACTCCTACAACTCTAAATTCATCACGGCGGGCTACAGTGATGCTGTTTTTATTTTGCACTTTGTATTAGAAAGAATGTTTTTTCACCTTTAGTCCAGGCAAGAGCTGCATAAAGAAGGAAGAAGAACGTTAATGTTGCATGAATTAATAATGTGAAGGCTCTAGAAAAACATGACGAGTCACAACACTAATGCTTACCCTTGGGTCTTTTCCAGGTTTGCCTGGCTCCCCAGGTTTACCCTGTGTGACATAAAACTTTGTTTTACAAAGACTATACGAACCATGTCATAATCTTGTGAACAATGACATTATGCCCCTCCCTCTAGTGAGAGCATAACAGTAAATACATTCATATAAAGTGAACCTTTATACTAGTAAGTCTCTTAAATCTTGTCTGAGATGGAAAAGTCTGTTAAATTTAAATTTGACACCATGGTGCGTGACACCAGAGGATATATAAAGAGGTAAACTCAGATTAAGACTCACCGGTGGGCCATTGGCCCCATCCGATCCCGGTGTTCCCGGTGGACCGGGTGGCCCCGGAGGTCCCGCAGGCCCCTGTATTCCAGGCTCGCCCTGCTAAGAGAGTTTGAGTTAAAACCTGTCATTCTACAGTGATCCACACCAGCCATGTCCAAACAACCTCACACTACACTGCAATCAATTCAATAAAGGGTGGGGAGCAAGTGCTGTGGTGTTGGAGAGAGCAAGGTAAGCTAAGGAACAAGGCGAGCAGTTATTATGCTGGAGAACAATGACTTTTTTCAATTAATACCCAGTTTCTACATGCTTGACCTGTGACCCTCAGCTGACAGGATATGAAAGCATATGGTCAATAGATGCTCCAAAAGTGACCAAAGAGTCATTTAGCAATAACACAATCACACAGGTTTCATTTTCTGGACTGCTGTCCACAGTTACCAGTGTGGATCAAAAAGACAGTGAATAGAAATAGTGCCTTTCTTATTCAATGATGTGAATGCCCTCCCTGTCAATGAGGTCAAAAAACCCCAAGTATCCAAAAGCTCTGAAAACCAATCACATGATTGAGGCTGGTGTAAAATATGAAAACCTTCAAGAACACCATTTTACTTGTGACTCTAGAGACCATCATACAGAGACATTTAATTAACCATCATCTTATCTTAATTCAATGCTACACAAGCTATACAACACAATATTTGTACCATTGTTGTCCAGCTTTATGCACACCTTCATATATATACACATATACATATATATACACACACACACACACACATGGATGGCAGCAGAGAGAAGCTGTGGGAAGGAAGAGAAGTTGGATGGCAAGCAGGGGACATACACAATTGTACCTTGAGGCGTTTTAATATTAGAGGGCTTATTGAGGGCATGTTGCGCACGGTGATGGGCAACATCTGCTGGGGGGGAAGCACAGGTGGCCAGCGATGCAAAAAGGTCACAGGGCAAAGGTCACCAGGAGGCCAAAGAAAGGAAACAGGGTAGAAGAGGAGAAAGACGGATAGAGGGGGAGGGATGTAGAGGGAAAAAGAAATGAGGGTGAAAGGAAATGGGAAGTCAAATTAGAAAAAAGGAAATAAGGCTGAAGAAAGGAAATCTAAAAAAGAGGCCCCAGTAAAGCAAACTATAGGCCTGAAGCTGCAAAGGGGATGGTCCATGCACTGATATGCTCTAAATTATATGCTGAATTTTGTTTTGCTTCTTAGATGCCAGCAGAGAGCCTTTCTGTTTGCTGTGCAGGATTTGTTGTGGATCAGCATCCCCATTAACTGTTACTCAGGCCCGTAGATTGCAGTGGAGCAGAGGAAGGAGCCTGTCTTGCCACAAAGAGAGTACAGCAGTAGAGTTACAGTACATATTCAGACTTACTGTGGCCAACTGTCCAACACAGGGCTGTACAATACGTCGCTTCTGTTGAGATGACCAGTGCGATCAGATAAAAGGTCAGTACAAGTAAACCTGTGATGAGAGCTTTGTTTTCCCAAGTGCATGAAACGTGCCTACTTTTTACAAAGCGTACATATTTCCACAAACTTTATGATGCCACTAAAACAAAAGCACCTTTATCAATAAAGTAAACCCAAAATAATTCCTGGCCAGTCTTCTCTGTCTTAACACGCATCCAATTTTACATTTGATTGACTTCAGTTAGACGATGCCTGTTTTGCTATGTAACCAATCTCGCTCTTTATTCAGAAGCTCACTTAGAAGTTCTATGGAAATACATACAGCAGATTATAAGCAAAGGTGAGGGAAGAGTAAAAGTAGGCAAGTCTGCTGCTTTGTCTCCAACCATTACAGTGATCCACCACAACTGAGAACAGCTTTACATGGATATAAGTCACCTGCTGCTAATATTAAGAATGAATCAGATAAAAATGGTCTTTCCTGTGGGGAATATTTGTCTTTATGTTGAGATGCATAAAAATGAAAAAGTATCAGAAATGCAAAACTAAAGGACAAACAATGAACATGCTGACAAGTGGAAATTTAAGGCTCCTTAAAGGATTTTTGATATCTTACGTTGACAAAATAAAACTTGACTGAATGTGTGACTGTGGCTTGTAGCAAAGAGTACTTGGAGTTTTTAAAAAAAGCATCAAGTAAATACTCAGTAAAGGTTTTGTGTCACCAAAAGGAAATGCATTAAGCTGATCCTGATTAATGAATCTTTATTCTTTTCTCTGGGTGGAAAGCAGAAGGTTGACGAGTGCCTTTGTTTGTGGGCACTGGCTCTCTTTGTGGCATGACCTCGCAGCACCCAGTGAGGGTTATCAAACAGGGTGTTCAGAGACACCCACAAACCTTCAACAGAGTATGACTTGATCGTAATGCAGCCAGGGTTTTCAGAGGAAGATCCTGCACAAAGAGGCCCTACACACCATGGAAATTGTCATTTTTAGGCAACAAACCATTTCATTATCAAATCAAACAGAAAGTTACATACAGAACGCCCAGCTTACATAATCGAATCTTTAGTATCGGAAGAGCTGAGATGCATTTTCTCTAAACACCGGGTCTCTGTGGCTTTTAAACCCCAAAACACGCTGCGCCAAAAACTGGTCCACCCCAAGGATCGGGTCCCCCGACACAAACAGAGTAACATAGTGTACGCTGTTAAGTGCAGGAGGATTGCCAGGATTTATACATCGGAGAAACCAAACAACCTCTGGCTACAACACAGGAGAGCCACCTCGTCAGGCCAGGACTCTGCAGTCTGTTTACACCTACAGGCCAGTGGACACTCTTCAATGATGAGGATGTAACATCCTGGACAGGGAGGAACGCTGGTTTGAGGGCAGAGTCAAGGAGGCCATTTACGTGAAAAGGGAAAGACCACCTCTGAAGTTACATCTGTCATCATCTTACAAAGCTGTGATTGCAGCCATTTCCAAACTCTGAATGGTAGTTGTTCAATAAACAACTAGAACCAGATAATTCTCAGAGAAAATCCACTTGCATCAGTCCCTTCATCCAACTTCAAATTACTCAAATGCCCAAGGCCCTTTGAGGTGATGGTAGTGGTGGATGTTGATTATGAGGTTGTGCAAATTGACAAAAGCAGAGCAATGCAGATTTACCACCTCAACCTGACCCTCCTAAAAGCATAGAGGTAGGCGGAGCTTGACTCTCTGCTGAGCTAGGTGAATAACTGAAAAGGCAGTGGCGTATTAGAGCCATCTTCACCTGTAAATATTGGAAACGAAGTATTTGACAAGACATTGTTGCATGTCTATTATTACTAAGACTAAATTAACATCTGAACTCCACAAACAGCAATTCCCTAAGACTGCGGCCTGGACTGTGTTTATACCGTAGGAATGCCCCTCCAGACGGCTGCAGGGGTTTCTTAAAAACTTAAAGACTAGCTAAAAATAGGCTAATTTATCAGACAAATCTCCATTACATAGCAGACTCTTTTTCCTGGCAATCATACACATCTGTCTGTATAGCATGCTGCTGGTAGGGACCCTGTTTTCCCTCACCTACCTGAACTGCAGAGACAGAGGGCCAAAGAACTGCAGTTCCACATGTGCTACCTATCATTCATCTATTTTTGTCATCGTTAACAACTCTATTAGTTAATCTTAAAAAAGAACATAATAATAACACACTCAATATGTTAAACTTTGACTTCTTCTGAAAGAGAACCAGCAAAGAATTAGTTTAGTACAAATGTTTCCTTACCCGATGTGTGTAATCGCCACAGATACCCTTGAATAAACGAAAAAAGTTGAATTAGAAAGAGATCGTTGGAGTATCAGAAAAATGAAACTGATCTGAATGGCATAAAGAGCCATAACCCTAACCCTAGCCCTTTCACACGGTGAGTGTAGTTTAGTCTATGGAAACTGTGTTGAGTTCTGTAGCTCAAGAAGAGTTTTCCCAAATGTGATAGCATACACCTTGATGGTGTCATAATGTTGCCCTCTGAGGCTGACACACTGCTTACATTACTGCTACCACACACTGTAGAGATATGCTAGTTAAAGTTGATAAGCACTGCGCTATCTTGCCCTGATTCTAAAAAACAACATGACGGAAGCCATAAGCAGACATTTACTCTTTCAAATGCGGACTCCAGAAATCAGTGGCCCGTCTTTTATATACAATCTATGCTTCTGATGCTTTAATTAAATGGTGTGAGTACTTCTTTATCAAATAAAGGGTAGTACACTCACCAGCCATAATAAAAGAAAAACATGAAAAATAAAAATCTCACCTTCTCCCCTTTAGGTCCAGGTTCCCCCTGGACAGCAAAAGAACACAAGTAAAGAAAAGAGGAGTTGGTTACAAAGGTAGCAAAGAGCTGAGCAGTGCGTAATCAGAGGACTGACATCAGGTCTCAGATACTTACTGGGTGTCCTTTAGGACCACGCTGTCCCTGAAAGACACCAGGAAAACACTTTGTCTTAAATATGACCTAGGCATTGATTAGCTGCTGCAACGTGTGAAAGACTTAACATGAGTGAAAATCATTTTCTCAGAATAATCAATCAAACTGAAAAATGGACTATTCTAACTTCTTGTTAGGAACGAACCCACTCAGGTTAACTTCCCACTAAGGCCTGGATGTGACCTGCACAAGTAGCTGTCAGATCTCAGCAACTGGTTTATTAAAGAACTCAGGAAGAGGGGCACAAATCCATCCATCCAGTCTATCCCAACTTTATATTCACTGTGTTTTTAATTTGTTAAAGAACGACTTTGTTGCACAGGGCTGCTCCACTTGCCCTGTGGGGGGTCTCTGTCTTTTAAACTTGGGTTCTCTACCAGAGACTTAGGATCTTGAGGGTCCTGGGCAGTATCTTTGGTGTTCCTAGGACTAGGTTCCTGCGACTGCCATTCCTGGGATCTGCTTTAGCCACTCTTCTATTTTTGCCATCACTGCCCTGAGTGCTCTGATTACCACAGGGACCACTCCACATCTTTTCTCTCAGCTCTTGGTATTTTTTAATCTTCACATCTTCCTTCTTCCTGATGTCGCTATCACTTGGTATAGCTACATCTAACACTACAGCTGTCTTCCTCTGCTTGAACTTGGCCTGTCTGTATCTGAAAGTCCCACTGGATCTTAGCTGGGTCATTTTCAACCATCCTAAAGGCCATATCCCACTGGATAATTGGATACGACCTTGGGACTTCCAGGCCATAATCATCACAGATCTCCCTGTGTACTACGACAGCCACTTGCTCATGGCACGTATAACCTGCCAGCTAGAATCTTGCACTATTCTGCTGTGTGCTGGAATATCTCAGGGAACAGTCTGTGCAGCCTGAACCTGGTAGACCCCAGCCTCTATCAATCTTGTGCTTAAAGCTTGTTCCTGTGCTGCCATGATTAGTGTTTCTGTGCTGTTTTTCAGTCCAACTTTGTCCAGCCATACAAAGTGGGAAGAATGTTGTTTCCCCTAACATTCCCAGATAGTTTCACAATTGTCTATGAAACCTATATCGTTTTTAAGGAGAAAACTGGCTGCTCCTGTCTGCATGCCAAATATCCTCGGCCAAGACACTAACCCCAATTTGCTCTCTGATGTTGTTTATCTTATCTATTTTAATTCTGTCTTATTTGATTATATTATCCCTCTGTTCAGCACTTTGGCCCACACTTGATGTCTTTTAAATGTGCTATATAAATAAAGCTGACTTGACTTGATGCAACAATCAGAGAGTGTGTGAATGACAGATTGAAAACACTTACATATAAAAATTATAGAAAAACGTGCTTGTGTAAATGGGTGAATGAGGCAGGTTGTGTAAAGCACTTCAAGTGCTCAGATATAGTAGAAAAGCGTCATACAAAAATCAGGCCATTTGCATGGCACCCCCGGTCCAATTGGGGGAGGGAAACAAAGAAAACTACAGAGTTTGACATTTTTTGCAAAGTTACACACCAGTTCAGTATTAACCTTAAAACCTTTGACTGACATAACCCTGTGTCATATTTCTAAAAACAGAATTGCTAGTAGCCAGAGTTTTCCCTTGGCAGGTTGGTGGTGGACTTTTGTTCCGGATACGGTTCCTGTTCCTACCCAACTGCTCGGGACGATCGGCTGGGAGAGAGCTAACGGTGGCTAAAGGACAGCACAGAGGACGACAGCACAAGAACAGATCCTAAACACCAGATCCGTAGAGGCAAGAGTCTACTACAGCTGACAGGCCCAGGGTTGCAGACCTTGTTGCAGGATAGTTGTAGGATGGGACTGCATATGGACTTCCAGTCCCTAAGCCCCATTGGGAGACACCACCAAAGGTGGTTAAGAACAACAGGGCGTCGAGTTCCACACAGTCAAGCCAACATATAGTGGAGGTTGACAAGGAGCAGAAGAATGCAGGGACAGATGTGTCTGTCCCAGCAGACAGCAACAAGCAATAAGAAGCACGGGAAATAGAGAAGTACCAGGTAGTTACGGGACAAGATTTTGTTTTTGTTCTGTTTGTGTACTTTTCATGTTATATTATAACGAGTGCTTGATTGGCACTATTTATGTTTATGACTTACCATGTCTCCCTTTGGTCCACTCTGTCCCTTTGTGGAGGCAAAACAATTAAATCAATCCAAACATATAACATCACTAAACTAAAAAATAATAATAAAGATGATGATGGCTGGTAGAATTTTTATTAATGACCAGTGAAGGAACTAAATTATTCAGTTCTTCCAGTTTACAAAAGGAACTTAATGGTACTCACAGGCTTGCCATCTAACCCAATTGGACCCTGGGAGAGGAGAGGAGAAGACAGTACAACATTTAGATTGTGTTATTGTCCCTGACTCACAAAGATGCAATTTCTAACTTTTAGGAAATACACTGGCAATTAAATAAAGACTGTGTATCTTGCTCAGACATACAGATGGCAGTGCTGGTGGTAGTAGAAGGAAGGTGCTGTTACCAGTATGCTACTAGTTAAAACAGTTATTGGTCTGTGTTTACTGTGCTGAGCAGCACTCACAAAGTGGCAATCTAATCATGAGAAGATGGTAATATTTTGGTTTGATGTTCCATTTTATCTAAAGGAGTGCAGAAAATGTTTTTACATATTTTACATGAGTAAAATCGTCAATCACCAGCTAATTCATGAAGTATTATAGCCTAAAAACAACCCTGGCAAACAGGTGGTTATAGCTTACTGGAAATCCTGGAAATCCTCTTGTACCAGGTTGTCCCTAAAGAGATGAAAAAAAGAGAAAACCATGAGAGTGTTTAATATGCATCTGACAGTCTGACATAAAGTCTGGAAAAGTGTAGTTGAGAGTAGAACGGTTCCGCTATTTTTACGCATTTTGTAAATGGCGAATACACTGTGTGCGATTTCCTTCTGTGTACTGTTAAGGGTTCAATATTGAGGAAGGGTACAAGAGGTGATCGAAGAATAACCACACTGATCCGGCCGAGTGAAGTCAAATGATGATTTTAATACACGCGTGGGAAGATCACTTCAAACAGCAATTGATCTTCAACTTAGTCAAAGCACAAACAATTATTTTATAGCATCAGGGTTTGATTAATGACGCCCCTTCATACGTCACAGATACATTTTATACATAGATCAGATCAAAACCACAATGACTTTTAAAACAGTTCGAAAGAACATCATCTTCTATTTTCATGGCCGATTCCTCCGGTCAACCTTTTGACTTCCCGTTCAGCCACTCATCCTGCAAGACCTCGTTCCTTATTCTCAGAGACAACAAGGAACGGTTCCTCTTTTACAGAGACAATTTCGTAGTTACAGCCAGACATGACTAACCTCTCACCTATAAATGAGTCTAACTAATGTGTGTGTCATGACCTCACTCGGCCTCTATGTCACCTCTCGCCTACTAACGCTCACAGACAAACAGAGGCCCCTGCCAAATGTGTCACAATGTACTCAAACTAAAGATAGAATATAAATTGAATAAATGCTTTCAACCAACTAGTACTACTTAAACTCAATCCAAGAACATAAACATATAAAAGATAATAGAAATGACCTGATATAAGTGTTTTGTAAGCATGTATTGCACTTTCTTCTATGTTCTAGTTTCCCTCAGCATGTATCACCTGGACAGTCACGCCAGTAAAGCTTAAGACCCCTAATGAACTGAACATATAAGCACAGATATGCAATGTGTATAAAATAATTATAACTGCATCTGAAATACAAGGTTAATATGATAACAGTATGCATAAACATCTTAAGGCCATCTTAAAGCTATCTGTTACATTGTTAAAGCAATGATCATACTGCAGATTATATTATGCTGGTAAAATACTTTTGTTCATCCCCACAGTACACGAGGAAATCAGATACTGAAAAATGTTCTGTCTCGCCTCAGGCCAGCAATGACTGTGAAGCTTCAAAATGTACCACATATTCATCCAACCCAGTGACATGACAAAATGCTAAAGATGCTGAAGCATTTGTTTTGCCTCGGGTTTTGTTCACAACTGTAATGTGTTTGCGACTGACTCTTCTTGGATTCTCCTGTGCAGAGTCTCTTCTGCAGCCTGTTATTTATTAGAAATGCCTATTACAATACAGGAAAAGTGGGCATACAAAAGGATAGACTATAATAATGAACACTAAGAAAAACAGATGCTTAGGCTGGCTAGTTGCCCTCCTGTAAACTATAAACGGGGAGAAACATTCAACTCATGTTGTCACCTGAGAATTTTGGTCAAAACAAGAGAAACCAGTATGACTGGATAACTAGCCGTGAGCCCAGCTGGACAAGGATGGAGCATCCAGCTTTGTTCCCTGATAAAATAACGATGACTAGTGATCCAGTCTAACTTAACTTCCAATCGTTTACACATGCACTCTGCAATTATATAACAATATTCTGTCATGGAGCAGTGACTCAGTCTTGAATAAAGACAATTTGGCCGAGCCAACATAAATCCGTGCTCAGTACTCCACAAACCTGAAAAGTAAGGAATTGTCTAGTGTAATTAATAGAGCTGAAAAGTCTGTTGGTGTCCACAAAACTGATGTGATGAGTTCTACAACAGTGGTAGCTAATAAAGACGTTTGCTGCATAGACAAGCAGACGTGATTAAAGGTAAAAGGGTTCGTAGTTCTAGGGAGAGACACTTACAGGAGGTCCTCTTGGTCCAATGATAGACAGGCCAGGCTCACCTGGTGCTCCCTATGAACAGACAGAAAGACAGGAAAAGGGATTCCTTCCTCTAGCACTCACATCTATAAATATTATCAGAGGGATTCAACAAAAAGGTAAATGGCTACAGCAATTCATCACGTACAATGTTTAAATGTTTAAAGAAATGTAAAGCTGATGTGACACCAATGTCTGGTTACTTGGGGTTTAATAAATTCTAAGCTGGTTTAAATTTGGTGATAGTGGGTAAACACCAGTGGCTACTGAACTAACTCCTGATCCTTGTTTAACCTCCTAAGACCCGAACTCTTCCACAGCATGCATTTTTAATTTCTCTTTGATATTTGGGCTGATTAGGACCTGATGAATGTAAAAACAAAGAATTA